AAAAAAAAAAAAGAAAAGCAAAGCAAAAGCAACAGAAAAGAAGAAGAAGAGAAGAGAAAAAAAGAAAAGAAAAAGAAAAAAAATACAAAAAATACAAGTAAATCAAAGTCGACGAGATACAGTGATCGACAAATACGACGATCGGAAAGCAACTAAAAAAAATAATGAAAATGAATGAAAAAGTATGGGGAGAAAAGTAAGAGGAACTTACCCATGATAATCGAAGTGGTCGGAGAACGGAAGAGAACATGGAGGCAACACGTTGTCGCCGGAGAACTAGAAAGAAGTCGCCGATAAGAATGGTGGTCAAATCGAATGATGTTTTTGCTAAATTGAGTTTAAAAAATCGAGGCACAAAAGGTTTATATGAAGAAGAAAGGCCTATTGATGGAAACGAGCTTGCGTTGGAGTTTTTGGACAAATATGATCGACTCTGCATTTGATTTGATTATTATTTGCTTTCCTTTTTATTTATTTCCTACTTTTTATCTATTAGGAGCAAGTAAATAAATAAATATCCTACAAGTATCTTGTAGGGGTAGGACTCCTCTTTATTTATGTTTGGGATTGTAACAGAAGGGGGCAGATTATTGAAGCTTTTATCAGATTTTGAGTGACTTCATCGAGAGCGTATCTCCTTCTTTTCCCTTTTGTATCACGTTCTACATCAGTTGGTATCCATAGACCAGCGACGATCCACGATGCCGCCAAAGAAAAATGTCGTGCTCGACAACAACATTGAAGATCGATTACAGAGAATGGATGATCGGATTCAAGGTATGGACGAGCGATTTATGGACCTGTCTGCGGGGGTCGAGGAGATTCGACTGTCAATGAGGACCATGATGGACGAAGTGCGTACGAACCGCGACGCTGGCGACCGGGGCGCACGCGGTGGGTTTCGCAGTGGTCGTGGTGGTCGTGGCTTTGGCGGGGCGCCCCGCCGGCAATCACCACACCCACTGCCCGGCGAGTCTGATACCGATGAGACCCTTACCATCGACAATCCTTTTGCCGACGGCATTCCGAGATGCGGAGGAACTGACGCTTTCGTGCGCCAAGAGGACGTGGTGAATGGTGCGGTGGTACAGGGCCTGACGGTGATGATTTTTACGACCGCGACGGCCTGCTTTGGGAGAACGACGAACAATACCGTCGCGGTGGCAGGCTTGAGGATGACGACCGGCCCCGTCGTGATAGGCGACGCGGCGATGGGTTTGACGGGCCTGACCAGCGGCAGCGCGGGTGGGGTCCTGATGACGGCGGTCTGGGGTTTTACGGTGGTGGACAGCAGCGCCGTGGCGGGTGGATGGACCGAGATGGCGCCGGACTCGAGGGCGTTAACCTACACCGCCGCGCTTGGGGCCATGGACCGACTGGTCGAGAGCTCTAGGGCGGCAGACAACAGCTTCATGATTTGGGCCGAGAAGACGCCGGCCAGAGGCTGTACCGAAATGATTTTCGCCGTACTAATGACGGCCACAGTGACCCACGTTGGGAATTCGGTTTTCGGGTCGAGATTCTAGAATATTCAGGAGGAACAGATGCAACGGAGTTCCTTGACTGGTGGGCAGCAGTTGAGTCCGTCCTCAAATTTAAGGAGGTCCCAGATGAAAGGCGTGTCGCGCTTGTTGCCACGCGGTTCCGGGGACGAGCAGCGGCTTGGTGGATGCAACTCACGAGTTTGCGGCATCGCCAGGGGAAGCCAGAAATCTCCACTTGGATGCAGTTCC